AACCTGGTCTATATTCTTGTTCAGAGCAGAGTCAGCTGTGAAGTTAGACCAGGCCCCTGCAAGCTGGTCTTCAAACCTCCAGGGTCAGAGACTGTACAATGACTGTGGGTAATCTGCTCCAGAGTTTTACTGTCCTATCATGGAAAAGCATTAACTAAGCATTAAAACCAAGCAAGGATATATACAAATCACCTAGCTGCTCTCTGTGCTGATCTAATTAGAAATCAGTGTAAATGATGTACTGAATAGCTTTGATACTATTAGCAGAAAATAAAAAAGTCTTATGAGACAATCTGATCTCCTGTAACAAATAAGTCTATTTATCATTCCTTTTTCTAGATCTAAGGTTAAAAGTGCAAAACAATATAAGAGAAAATGACTTCTGTAAGAAATCACAGTGGTAAAATTAAGAATTCTTTCCTAATGGCTACTAGTATCTTTCTTGCTGCACCTCCAGCCTGTTACTCTGCATGTTACCCATGTCAGGAATAGGAAATATGCCATTCCCTTCCTCTTTGTAGCAGTTTTATGTATTTGAAGACAGTTTACATGTTTCTCTTCAGCTGACTCTATGCTAACTAATCTTCCTCCAGGACTATGTGTTATACAGACCAGTTACTCTTGGTGATCTCCTTTCAACAACCTTTACACTAAAGCCTTACCAATAATATGTAGGTGTATAATCAAAGAATATTAAGACAGTATAATTATGAAATAAATGAAAGAATTAGGCAAAGCAGATTATAATAACAGGAAGAGAATAGATAGGATGCTAGGACGCTTACCCATATCCCGGGCTCACTTATGAAACTCCAAAGGAGGGGATCTCCAGAAGAGATCTTTCACCACTGGTAGTCAGCTCTTAAATGGGTCTAGGAAAGGTGGAGCCAGGTTCCACGCCTTCCAGCAGCACAGGTGAATTGCCTTCACCTGTGCTCCATGGCTGACTCATTGCTCACCTCAGGTGATCAATCAGAGGTTCAGGCTGTGACTCAGCAGTTCCCATACAGTAGCACAGAACTATTTCATTAGTATTACAGACAATGCTTTCAAACATCTTAGTTTCTTTCATTCACAACTGTCTGACTTCATTCCCTCACAGCCAAGAAAGCCAACCATATCCTGGGCTGCACTACAAGAAGTGTGGCCAGCAGGTCAAGGGAGGTGATCCTGCCCCTCTGCTCTGTGCTGGTGAGGCTTCACCTGGAGTACTGCAATCTGATGTGGACTCCTCATTACAGAATAGACATGGACGTGGTGGAGGGTATCTAGAGGAGGGCCACAAAAGGCTCTGGGGTGCCCTGATCAGTATCTAAATGGGAGCTACAGGAAAGAAGGAGACAGACTCTTTAGCAGGGTCTGTGGTGACAGAACAAGGGGAAATGGTTTCAAGCTTAAAGAGGGTAGATTTAGGTTGGATGTAAGGAAAAAGTCTTTTACAGTGAGGGTGGTGAGGCACTGGAACAAGTTGTCCAGAGATGTGGTGGATGCCCTGTCCCTGGAGACTTTCACAGTAAGGCTGGATCAGGCCCTGGGCAACCTGATCTAGCTGTGGTGTCCCTGTTCATTGCAGGGGAGTTGGACTAGATGACCTTTAAAGGTCCCTTCCAACTATAAGGTTTCTATGATTCACCAGCTTCGTATCCAAATAATCCACAGATTTTAATTTTCAAGTGGATGCTACTTTTTTTTCCCCTGAAACCATATTTATTCTCCCCTACAAATAGATCTTTGCACTTAGACCTTTTTCTTAGATTCTAATCTGCTAGGCTATATCTTTGATGTGTCAAAAATATTCTGGGTTTTAAGGCTGTATTACAGCCACTAACAGTCCATACCATACAATTATAGTTCTGAATAGTATTGGAAGGAGGACAGATTCACTAGTATAATCTTCCTTCCTGTCAGCAAATCAATTAAAATTGCTCTCAGTGTATATGATTTCAGTCATGCTATAGAAGAGCAGACCAATACTTCTGTTGCCAGTTGTAACAGTATCTTGTGAGACTATGACATTGGCTGCCTAACACAAAGAAAATAGAATATAAAGGAGGATTAAAACAAATTTACACTGAGAGTATATTATTTCCTGTGGCGGAAAAGCATGCAGCATTAACACCTGTACATGCCAGTACTGGTTCAATCTGAAAGGGAAAAAAAAGAAAAACAAAAATCCTCCAAACAAAACGAAGGCAGACCAAGAATTCCAGATTCCTGCAGGAGACACACGTGTGGCAAAGAAACCTTTAAATAGCCTGAAGGAATATCCCTTAGCATATTGAATTAAAGATGCCTCCTGTATCTTTGATTTACATACAACCAATCACTTTCACCTCAGTTGCCTACGACATCCCCAAAGCTTCCTCAGACGAAACAGAAAATACAACCAAGACCAAAGTCAGCTGGTTTGATGTGGTGAATGGGCTCAATTGAAGGAATCTCCCTTAGCCAACTTCCTACAAGAAGCGTTCAGTGCTACTTTAGATTTCCGAATTGCTGTTGGCAGCTGCCTCTCCTCAAAGTGTTCTCCCACCAGTTCTGCACCAACCTCTACCTGCAGTGAGTTAGAAATGGCAAACACCTAACGTTCAGCTGTAACCTATTCAAGGTACAGTGCAAAACAATGCACAAACATTGTCCTGTTCTTCGACGTGCAAGATCTGACTGAGCTTTTTTCATTAGTAAAAATCAAATTTTACGTTCCAGTCTTTTTAATCATGTTTGTCACTCACAAAGTAGCACAGACATTTTATTCTGGACAGTGTGTCACAACACAAGAGCACTGATACATTTTTAATACCATAATTTAACAACTGGAATATGCAAAATTATTTTAACTATGGCCAAAGTGAATAACTTACAGCCCAAACTGAGTGCTACTTCGTGTAACCTTAAAAGACACTCCCTCCTCACATATCAGGATATGAAGCTTCTAATGAGACTGTCCCAGATTATTTTTGGTAAACAAGGATTCTTCCGTTTGTATATTTCCTCTTCTTTGAAGAACAGATGAATATATTATTAAACTGGAAATAGATTTAAACGGAATCTTTTAATTAAATTCTGAATTTGAAGAAGAGGACAAAAGTCTAAAATGTGCTGACTCAGCTCCCACATGTGAAAAATGTTGCTGTCAGTCATTTGGTCATTTTATCTCTGCCTTAGTGTTAGGGAAATCAAGCAGAGAGTGGCAGCAACAGCCGGATCCATGTGCCTGTGTCCAAACACAATTTATTCATATAGCTCAAGGAAAGCACGGCACAGCTGCAGAGCAATTATGAGTAAAAAAAAAATCAACAAGCCCTACAGAACTGATGAATAACGATACCGTGGAGGAAATAAGATCTGTCTATGAAGCTAGAAACACTCAACATTAACAAGTGCTTTTTTTAGACTGAATCTTCACATGATAAACGTTAGTTGCTATGGATGCTGACTTTCATTTCTGATATTTCTTCCTTCCTGGTTACTAGAATATTTCCTCCTAAAAAAAAAACTTCTATAACTTTAAATCTGCTAAATTAAACCATAACAAGAGATTTTCTTTAAAATATCAACACTGGAGAGCTGGCTGACACTTCTAAAGAAGTATAGAGGGGGGTGGAGTGGGAAGTGTATATACCCATGTACAAAGCAGGAATACTTTGTGTTTTCTTAAATTCAAATGCTGCCACCCAGTCACCGTTTTCTTTAGTCTGAATATTGCCAGAATCTCAGCATCTTTCATCCCTCATCTTGAAGAACATATAAACATCTGAATATATAGCACACATTGAGTGGAAATGATTTTCTGCATCTTCTTCAGACAGTGAGCTGAGGCACAGAGAAAAGATGCATTCTTAAATCAAAATGCCTAGACCAAATCAGCCAAAACACTACTAATAAATCAGTAACCAAGTAAAATTTGGTTAAGGAGCTGAAGCTCAAGTACAAACTGCTATTCTTAGCTCAATTCCTATTACACAAGCTAAGTTAGACTGACCCTTCCACTTGTCCCTCAACATAGACTTGCTTTGATGATTGTTATGCACCTGAAGTCATGCAGGAATATTGGCCTGAGCCATATAGAGCAACCCAGACCAGCATTCTGTCAGCTAAGGCAGCCTTCCAAAGGGCCAGTCTAATCCACATTTTAACACTAATGTTTTTTCAACTATTTCTGACCAAAGCAGAGCGTCTGTAATTACAACAAACAGTTTCAGGCTCCACTTCTTATACACACTGTTGTATGTTGAAAAACAAGGAAAGGTTTCTCTTAGAATTTGCACTTGGAATTTTTACGCCAGCTAGGAAAATAAGGTCCTTAAAACGCATCAGTGTTTTATCCATCAGTGAAGGGGGCAGAACTGGCAGACTAAGGAAGAGGTACATGCACCTGCATTCTGTGAGGACAAGCAATCATGTCATTCTGGCTGAAGTCAGATATGTTCAGTAGACTAAAATCATGTTAACTAGTGTATCGGTATGCAGAAGCATATCAATAAAAACTAACCTTTTTAAGCTAGCTGTCAGTTATCATGCTATAAGAAATGGAAAAAATTTCAATGGTAATGAATTTATGTTATTAGAAAGAAAAGAATGTAAAACATTTGGTAATTACATTCAACATATTTCCTACGTTCTTTATTATTTGTAATTTATAAAGGCAACAACCAAGTACTATAAATACCTACATCATCTCATCATACATTCCATACAGTATAAATAAACGTTTACTAGTTACCATAGAAATTTAGTAGCAGTAGACATCACTGGAGTCCAGTGGTTATGGTTCTGTAAGACTTCATTATTAAATATTTTCTTAACAAACATGGTTCCGAAGGATGTGCTGATGACGCTAATTAATATTAAATAACTGCTTGTTATTAAGCCTTTCAGAAATCACTGATACAGAAAAAAGAGTTTCATTTGTGAAAGAGTTAAGGAATGCCTTCCACTTAGTTTGTCATATACCAGAACATTAAAACAGAAAAATAAGTAACATGGTCAGAATAACTTACCTTTTCACCTTCTTCACCTTTACTACCAGGAAGGCCATGTTCACCCTGGAACACAAAACAATACAAGTAATATCTCCAACATTCTTTAAATTATTGCATTTCTTAAAATTAATTTTATTACATTGATCTTTTATTATGGGAACAAAACACAAGAAACTATATGGATAATTATAGTCTTGCATTCAAAAATGTATGAAATCTCTACAAAAGTTGCCATTGGTTTTTAATAACCAATCATTCTTTCATTCAACCTAATGGATACTCCTCGCTTTAAGAATTCTAAACTTTTGATTCTAAACCCATTCGTTACAGTCTCGGTATTCTGCAGAATCAGCTTTAATACATTTATTCCTATCAATTCCTTCATGTTAATTTTTAAATATGCCTAGTCAGCCGTGAAGGCCTCAAAAACCCACCCCAATTGAGCAAAAGATCCAAATACAACTTACTGAAAGAAAACCCATCCCTTCCATTTGGAAATTTCTGTCCAATTAATGAAACATTATAAAATAATAGGAGTGCAATTTGCAATGCTAACTCAAATTCAGCTTATTGCTGCAGACTGAATTCTTTATTAAACGATCTTACAATAGAAAGACATGTTATAATGCTCCAATTTGATAACTTTTACCTCAGAAAAAGATGCTAATGCAGCAATCTTACTATGCTAATGTCTCTGTCAATTGGTTTGAGGCCTGGATGCATTACAACAAGAATAGTATCTATTTTTTTCAGGTCTTTATTAAAGTATTTTTGTCTGTTTTTTAACAGAAATACAATCAAAATTATATACTTGTAGTACAAAACTTACATAATTTAAACAACAACAACCAAAATAAAACAAAAAAAAACAACCAAACCCCAACACCACCACAAAACAAACTCCACACGTATACTCTTTCTCCCTTAAATCACCTGGCAAAGGATACTTTGCATGACTTTGCCAGTGTCAAGATATCAGTTTTACTGGCTCAGTACAATGCACATGAGTTCTACAGGCTGGAAAACGAGGAGACTGGATAATTTCTGAAGTAAAGCATATGGCTTTTTTCTAAATTACTTTAAAAAAAATTAAATTAAGTAATGTCTAAACATTCTTTCACCCTTCAGAGATTTTCATTTCCATATATAGAAGTCTGTGGTTTAAATGAGGTCAACTAAAACAGCAGGCTACAACTTGCAAACTTTCTAGCAACAATTTGCCAAATTGTTTAATTGATACAGTATTGTGTAGTACACATCTGGGAATTAAATTTGAAACTTAGGAGACATGCAGATTTATGGATTATCAAACAACTCTGGACTTTCAGGAGGTGCCTGCAGTAGCTCTTCCCTACCTCCCCCTCCCCCCTTCCAGCTGGAGTTACTGAGGCATTCATCACTTTAGGAGTCAGTTTCAGAAGCATGACCAAGACAAAGTATGCAAAACGTGATCTCGAAAAGTAACCTTCCAGATGCTCTTACCTAAAAATGTGTGGTTAATTGCTGAAATAAATTTCTGAATGTATGCAAATTCTACTCTGCTTCCCATTCTTCTAAACATAGCTAATTTCTACCTACTTTCAACAAACAAGAACAGAGAATTTTCTTCATTTAGCTTTTGCATTCCTAAGATCACAAATTCTGTCTTTATTCAATTCACAATCCATTATATAAAAATCAGCCTTACATAGACTCAAAATTTATTTGGTTGGAGCTTGTATCCATTGTGTTGTCCTTCCACAGTCCATCTCTGATAAGTTTGGCTCTGGATACTTGCACCTTCTCATTACTTGCAAAGAGCAGTAAAAGCCTACTCCCACCCACCTTCCAAATTATGTCATCTCACAGCTGAACAGACCCAGTTTCCTCAGCATCTCTTCATATACAATGGTCTGTAGGCTTCTGGCCATCCTCATGAGCCTCCACTGGGGTCACCTCAGTCAGCTGCTCTCTCCTTCTCCCAGTAGCCTCAAGCTGGACACAGATGCAGTCACAAAAGTGCAAAATAATCACCTCCCCTGACCTGCTGGCCACAATCTTGCTAAAGCAGCCCACACATGGTTGGCCTTTTTCACTACATTGTCAAACAGCAGGACTATCAGATTGTCTTTTTATAGAAATGTAGAATTGTTTGAGTTGGAAGGAACCTGTAAATCTATAAACCTGTCATCTATTCCAACTCCCCTACAGTGAACAGGGACATCTACAGATAGATCAGGTTAATCAGCCTGACCTTGAGTGTCTCCAAGGACAGAGCATCCACCACTGCTCCAGACAACCTGCTCAACTGCTTCTCGACTCTTGTCATAAAAAAAACTTTGTTCTTATATCCAATCTAAATCTCCCCTCCTTTAGTTTGAAACCATCTCTATCACAACAGATCCTACTAAAGAGTATGTCCCCTTCTTTCTGTTTGTTTCTTTAAATGTTTCCATATTCATACTGGGTAGCTCAACTCTACTTCCACTTCCACACATGCACATTTTCTGGCATACCAAAGCAGACTGACCTTGAAGATCAATCAGCTCTCGTGGCTCCTTAAAACTGCAGGACAGTCCCTAATGCGTCCCTTTGACAGACTCAACAAACTTAGTGCTGTGATGCTCACCTCACACGCCATGTTTTCTACAGTCCCTGCTGAACCCCCTACAGTTTTTCCACAACTCTCAAGTAGTGAGCTTGGAAGAGGTCCAAAGCACAACATTTCAGATCACCAATACCAAGCATAATGTTCTCCTTGTGTAGTCAAATGCATGGTTTATTTTATTCACAATAGCAGATTATTTGCTTATATTCACTTTCATTTCCACATTCAATTAGAAAAAAATAAGAAATGTCGCAACAGAAAACATAGAGAGAGCATTAAAATAATAGTCTGTGTTAGCCAAGGGTAAGATGCTTCAAAACAAAACACTAATGTTGCAAAATTACACCTTTAGGACTGACTTGAATTCTCCTTTTTGTGGCCGAATTCTTACGTGGTAAGCTAAATACTTCACACAATGTTTTTAACGGACAGTCACTGTTTTCCTCTTCATACTCAATACGGGACTCATAATACAATTTTTATCACTATTTAAATACAATGCAAGTCAATAAGATCCTGACTTTGAATGCATAAATTGATAGTGGTAAGTCTATTGTGAAACTCAATGCTAGCTACCTCATCTGCAGAGAATATGTTCCTTTTCTTATTGCCATATTGCAGGAAATCTGCCCTAAAGATACGTGAATCATCCCTTTGCATGATGGTCATGCTTATCAATACTTGAAATTCTAATTATGAGGTTTTTTTCATTAGTCCCTTAATTTTTGGAAGCAGCAAAACCATTTTACATATGATTTTCCAATAGGAATTAGCCAGGTAGAAACACATGACATTGGGATTTCATTCCAATGACTTATGTTTAAACATAGCTCCTACTTCATGAAAAGAAAATTAGATCATGATGAGTGTCAGGCAACTTTAACAAATATTATCAGTAATGTCTGTAATGCACAAGCATCTTTTTGCAAATTCTAGCCTTCCTACAGTATTCCACCTCTGAGGAGGAGTAAAAGATAAAAAAAAAAAAGATAAAAATGGAAGAGTACAAGAAGCAGCGCTTCCCTCATTTCATTTTGCTGAGATCATAAGGCTCAAATATCAGATTCTTGAATCTATACATCTCATGGCTGCAAAGACCCTGCACAGTACTGAGACAGAGGCAACTGCTCTTAATGCAAGGTAACACTGGCAGGCACATCTGTGCCACTGCACCTCATGTCCTTTCTCTTGTGAGCTGATAGCGAAGTTCCTTTGTTGTGCTATACAAGTTCAAAACATTCAAATACAATGTAGGTAAATGCTGGAGAGCTGGCAAAAAGGATGTTGAAAGTGAAATATATAAACAATTTTTTTTTTATTTATTATTATTTTTTTTTTACCTTGGAACCAGTAAGACCAGGTATGCCAGGAGCACCCGCTAAGCCAGTGTCCCCCTGAAATAAAATGTACATAACCATCATTTTTTTCAGAACTAGGCCATGACTAAGCTAAATTTAGAGAGGAAATAACAAATCACAAGAATGTCTGGAGATGCCCTGCTACTCATTCTTTTTTTCAGAAGCATTTATTTGATTTCTAGAATCATTTATATCTGTTGTCTTGTTTTCGGTTAAAATACATTTCATTTCCAAAATATCAGATAGTTAACAATCACAGGTGAGTGTTTTGACAATGAAAAGATTATGTTATTAAATTACTACCTCTCCTCCCTCTCGTTTTGCAAAAGCACGGCAATTCCCCCGTACAGCTGCTACAGTTGTAAAACTCTTCCTCCTCAAATAACTTTCATGCACTTCTCATGAAAACTAAGAATTTGATTAGGATTTTTAAATTCCATTCAAGAAACTGGATGCTTAGGCATTGCAACTGAGCATAGATTGAAACAAGTTCATCAGAAATGTTTTTAAAAGGCAACTGTCCCTGCTCAATGCCATCTTCAGCATCTGAATTACACCTACTTTAGCAGAAAAAAAAACAAAGTAAACAAGCAGAAAAAGAAAACCCAAACAGAAACAAGTAACAAGTACAGTCAAAAACCTAGTAATATTGCATTTAGAATTAGAATGGAAATTAGTTCAACCATTTCCTTCTCCATTCCTTCTTAGCAAAGCTTTTTAAGACAGTTACAGAGCCAGTGAGAACCAGGCTACAGCACTGAAAGCTAAGAACTAATTTCCATTTACAGAACCATGAAAATATGCCACAGCGAAGTACATTGGTCTCAATAAATCTGAAGTTGTTAAGCTAAGCTCTGTTAGACAAATTCATCCACACTCCTATGAATTCAAGTGGGAGCTTAGAAGACTTATTAAAGGAATCTAAAATCAAATGCTATCTGCATTCCATTCACGGGCCTTAATTTCTTGACAGAAGTTTCCCTGAGTAACTTATATACCACCCAAATAGTTTTTTAGCCAAGCCAGAGCTCAGCAACAAAAAGTTCTGAAAGTTCACTTGTTTGATTCCAAGCCAAGTGGAAGATAAATGCCTCACAGACACAAACAAGAACAGAGACAAAGGAAAAGCTCCAGTCTCTGAACAACACAAAGAGCCAATAAAAGAACAATTACTCATCAAAATGATACAAGTAACGAAGCAAACAAGTACAAAGCACTCATGACATGTAACAATTAAAATACAGCTTAAAATAGATTGTTAAAAATGACATTTTTATAATTCCACCCATGGCACAATATCTAACGTTTTTCTTATATTTCCCTTCTGTAAAAATAAGTGCTGTCATGATGGGGAAAAATTTTAATTAATGTTCACAAGTAATCCTTATTCCTTCATTTTCTCCAAATTCACAATATGAACATGTGATTTCAAAAGCATTCCTTGCAGTCTAACAGTTACCAGATAATATTTTATCTTCATTATTATATGGAATCACTATAAAATAGATGAAAAATCGCATATTCACAGCTTTTTTCTTTGCTTGTTTTATGTGAACACAAGGCATAGATGTTTTGTCTTGCACTGTTTAATCAGCGTTCTACAAATCATGACTCCTTCAACACAGCAATTCACAAGTAGATCTCCCATAGCATCAATACTGATTTTCATTAAATCTGATATGATTGATGTTGTAACTGTTTTAACTGCTTTGGAAACATTCAGTGTACATATAATCAGGGTTCTCAACGTATTTATGATTTATTGATTCTGAAGTCTTTACCTGCGTTCCAACTCCCTATAAAATCAAGGATACAGTTTCTAATTGAAAGTGTTCAAGATACAATAAGCTCCCTAATAGCTATCTGCTTAGCAACTATTCCAGAATGCATGCTATTTTTATGAGAATTTTTATACCTCGACTTCCACATTTTGCTATTTTTCCCTATTAAAAAAAAAAAAAAAAAAAGACTTTCAAATAAATAAATAAATAAAAAGAAAAATGAGAGGCTAATCTAAAATGCAAGTAACGAATACACTTCATACAGCTCAGGTATCTGTACTACGCAACTATACCAACATGAGTTAGGTACCACATTAACTAAGAATAAAAAAAGAATTGAGAGAAACTTTCATCAGTGACTCAGATGTGCTTTGCTATTTAAAACTTTTTAGGCATTAGCACAGTTTATAGTCAAACACATGAGAAAGCTGTGAGATTCTCCTCATGGCTGGAGAAGAGAATCAGTTTAAAATATTTCAGATACATATTTTACACACAGGGTTTTGCTAAAATAAAATAAAAAAGAAAACAGGCAGATATTTCCTTAGCAGGAGGAATAAGCAGTTTTTCTTTTACAATTACTGGGGCACTGCAAGGAGTTTGATTTACATAATAAACTTGCTACCTCAGAGTTACTAGCAAGGAAATAATCTTAATAGAAGTAAAATCAGGATGGTTAATTGGTACTCACTCTTCTGATAATTTATATGTATGCACCTTCCATTACCCTGAGTATGCCCGACCCTTGGAATAATCTAATAGTCTGGTGTTTTAAAATGAGGACAACTATTTTTAGTATTGCAGAAATGGAGCGGAATGTTCAACAATGTACTATCACAAGGCTCTATCAACATCCTTCCCCTCGTAACAAGTACAGAGCGAGTCAAGAGCCACCAACAGGGTCAGACTTTTCCCTTTAATAAATTAACAATTCCACACCAATTATACTCCATTAGATGACAGGTTCCTTAGCCTACTGGAATATTTCCTTGTTTCTCTAAGCAGGCTCATGTTAATGGTTGGAATCACCTGATAAAATATTAATTATTTAAAAACATACTCAGTTGATATATGCAGGAGTCACACTGTGAAACTTCAGGAATGGTTACATCAGGAAGCTTGTGCTAAATATTATGACACCTTGGTTTCACTGCATCTACTGATCCTTTTGTTCCTGCTTGGCCCCTTCTGAACTAACAAATGCTAAGCACTGATAGGCTGCAAAGGCCCTAATGAAAGGCCCATTTTTCCTTCATGCAAACTGAATCCAAGTGAACAAGCGTAAGATTCTCCCTTAAAATAATCTCACGAAGAAGGGGCTCAGATGATTCATTTCCTTTCCTCTGTTCTGCTTCCTCAGCAATTTCAGCATGGCAGGTGTTCCACAGTTTGGCCAAGGGAGTGAGGGCTGGTCAGAGGGCTTGTGCACCCTTATCGCCCAGTGAGCAGGGCTCCTCTGGCTTTTCTGTGCAGCTGCTCAAGAGATGGCCAAATGAAAACAGCCCTATTAGAATGACATAACCTGAGGCATTAATTTCCCTCATTTCCAGCCCTTCCTGTCTTTGGGACAAGTCTGACATCTAGCCTTTCAGGCACCTAGAAATTAACGTACTGAAAATTAGACATTAAAAATTTAGGCCTCAGTTCTTGGCACACAAACTAATAAATGTGCACAGGTAGAGGCAAGCTCAGAGCTCCAGAAAATATGATCACGGGGCTCCTTACTCCAGACTGAACACTCAAATTGGCTTTATTTCCTTTTTAATTTTCTATTAGCATGTGCTGAAAGTATATGACTACCACAATGTCTATATTTAAATACATAAAGCATGTATATTTTTCAAATACATTGTCCAAGTCAGAGGTTTCTTTGCTCCATAAATTGTTTTCACACACAAGAATTCAGAGTTCTGAAAATACAGAGACAAAAGGACTATCCCACTTATTTCAATGCATCGTAATGTAGGAAATAAGTAGGCCTGTACATTGCCTTTCCTTTTATTTAAGAAATTGATAAGAAACTGTCTAAAACCTATGTCAAGGAGAGGCTTTTATACCATCAACAGAAATATCATCTGAAGCAGAATCAACTGTAGATGCCCTTTATGCTTTTGACAAATACAAGTGATATTCACTACCATCACACATCCTTAGAGAAGTGACAGCTGCCTTTATCTTCTTGACATTCCCCATGAAGAACTGACTCCTCAGCCTTGAAGACAGGCTACCAGTCCCCATTCCTAAATGCCACTGATATCAGGGACAGACGTGGAATGCAAGGAACTTAACAATAAAATAGAGGAGAAAAATGAAGGTAGAATGCATTACCAGTATACAACCAGGACCTCGGGTGGTTTACATTTAGTTCCCAGCTGTGCCACAGTTCTGTGCAACTTCCAACAGCTGATTAATGTCTTATTCTCCTTCCCTCTCTCCTACAGTATTTTTAGTATGAAATTCCTTGGTATCTGCAGTGCCTTCTGAGGAGGTGATAGTGGAGCATTACAAATCAGTGGGAAGTTCCACACAGTGGCAAAGAGCAGCAGAATAGCGCAGCTTCTCCTCATCCTGCCTCACTGTGTTCTAAAGCCTGACGGGTTTTTACCATTTTTATTTATCTACTTTTCAGACTGCATCTAATAACCCAACTAGCACCTTTTCCAAACCAATCACTGTTACATTTCTTAGGTAAGAAGGGTCAAAAGCACACTGTGATTTATGACTGATAAAAGTGGGTATTGTTCAATATATTTTCACATCGTTATTTAAAAATGCATGAATGGAACGTGGTCTTGATAACAATCCAGCTCAGTTGACCTGTGACATCATATAGACAGCATGAAGAAATTGCTGATAAAAAGCACGAAAAAAAATTTCTGTGGAGTACTGAGAATAACCAAATGGGTTTCTGTCTGTAGAAGGTTCTGAAAGATTCATAAGGTCAGACAGACAAACAGTACAGATAATTAAGTCCAGGCCGCCAGATACTTTGATCATCTGAAACAAGACAATAGAAAAAAAAAAAAATGAAGTGATCTTATACTCATGGACAACTGATTGATTTTATAACTACATTTTTTCCTTTACAGTGTGTCAGCCAAAAGAAAAATTGCCTGGACTTCCACAACAGCTATTGATTTATTGTTAACTCAGCCATAGCACAGTCTTAAAACAAATCTAAACCCTATTAAATTTTCAAAAGAACTGGAAATCCACCTAATTGACCTTGCTGAAGTAATATTTGAAATGCAATAA